CCCCCACACACACAACTTTGCCCCCTTCTCTAGGACGACGTATCAACTTGCTATCACTCGGCTGAGGATGTATTCCTACTAGGGTGCATTATAATCTTGCTGATTGTCACTGATTTCATATCGTATTTGGTCTTTAATCTTTAATCTTAACATTCCCAGCCTTCTCACTCTTGACCTACAGTACCGGTACAGCAATGCCTGTCAAACCGGACGATAATATCACCCACAAGTGGGCAATTCGTTGGTATTTTTGGTGAACCCTGGGGATCATATGTGAGGCAGCGTGGTGGAATCAGGCTCTTGTCATTTTTTGGGGGGTATATAGAGTTAATGGTGTCATCTTAATGCGTATTCACTTGTCTTTATTTGGATGAAAAAAATATCCATTTATTTTAAATACAAGTCGAGATATTTGCGAAAGAGGAGGTGGGGGTCACCTGTTTTCAGAGGTAAAATTAGTGAGAAAATGGCCGCCAAAGATTAGTTATTTCCTTAGCATAAGAGTCCGTGGTGACTGAAAATTTACATTTGTGTGCCTTTAATCAACGCTTTTCAAAAAAATCCACACAGAAATGGGTTCTTTAATTGGCATGAAAGGTGTTGAGCCAAAAATTTTAAAAATTGATAAAAATTCACAAACCTGCGGAAAAATGCAAGTTTCTTCACTTTGATTATTTTGACGAAAGCCTGATTCCACCACACTGCCTCACATATAGGTAGTGACAGGTATTATTAAAAGCCCCTTCTCAGAAATACATATGGGTGGGCGGTATGAATATTTTAGCCTCTGAAAGACTGCAAAAGTGGGCCCAGGCTAGAAAAAGATTGACAGACAAGCACTGGCCTACAGCAGTTTTGTTTGTTAACCCTATATTAATATCTCGTAGGAGTAGACTACCACACACTATGGGCTATTAACGACCCTTTTCACACTGCTTTCTTATCTAGGAGGCGGGACCCGCGACATTATCTACGATCCGATAGGACCTAACCAAGTAGGTACAACTAAGAGTCTTATTGTCAGCCATAGACCTATAATTATAGGTCTATGTTGTCAGCTCACTAACCTAGAATTACAACCTTCTATCTGCTCAGTACCCAGTTTTGGAGAAATTTCACGTTAAAGATGTTTGAGTTTCACAACCTTTCAAGCTTTTTTGAATGAAGCGCCTTGAATATTTTGATAACGACTCCGAATAGTCTTACGATTTTGTTGGAGCAGATAAAACCTTTGGTTTCTGACCTCATGGTCTTAGTAGTAGTAGTAGTAGTAGTAGTAGTAGTAGTAGTAGTAGTAGTAGTAGTA